AGAACTTGCAGTGAGGTTAAATCGTGCCACTGCACTCCGGCCTGGGCAACAGAGCGAGACTCCGTCTCAAAAAACAAACAAACAAAAAAGACATTATCAACCTGAGAAACATAGCAAGATCTTGTATCTGCAAAAAATTAAAAAATTAGCCAGGCATTGTGGCATATGCCTGTAGTCCCAGCTACTCAGGAGGCTAAGGTGGGCGGATCATCAGAGCCCAAGAATGTGGCTGCAGTGAGCTGTGATTGCACCAGTGCACTCCAGCCTGGGCAACAGAGCAAGACCCTGTCCCTGCCTCCAAAAAAAAGAAAAAAGGTTTACACTTCAGTGAAAGAAAAAGAAGTTGCTATATCCATCCCAACCTTCAGCAACCACCACCACCCTGATCAGTCAGCAGCCCCCAACATTGAGGCAAGTCTCTCCACAAGCAAATATTATGACTCACTGAAGGCTCAGATGATTGTTAGCATTTTTAGCAATAAAGTGTTTTTAAATAAAGGTATGTACCTTGTTTTTGTAGAGACAATGCTGTTGCACACTTAATAGCCTACAGTATAACATAAATATAACTTATGTGCACTGTGAAACCAAAAAGTTCGTATGACTTGCTTATTGGAGCATTTGTTTTATTGCAATGATCTGGAACTGAACCCACAATATCTCCAAGATATGCCTATACTAAGTAGTCTAATAATAAAAGAATACCAGCCTGGGCAACATGGCGAAACCTTGTCTCTACCAAAAATACAAAAAATTAACTGGGTATGGTGGCGTACACTGTAGTCCCAGCTACTCAGGAGGCTGGGGTGGGAGGATTGCTTGAGCCTGGGAGGCAGAGGTTGCATTGAGCCTAGATTGTGCCACTGCACTCCAGCCTGGGTGACAGAATGAGGCCCCATCTCAAAAGGAAAAAAGAATAAAACTTTGCTTTCCTCTACATTCTTTTTTTTTTTTTTTTTTTTTTAAGACAGAGTCTTGCTCTGTCGCCCAGGCTGGAATGCAGTGGTGCGATCTTGGCTCACTGCAACCTCTGCCTCTCAAATTCAAGCGAATCTCCTGCCTCAGCCTCCTGAGTAGCTGGGACTATGGCCGCACACCACCAAGCCCAGCTAATTTTTGTATGTTTAGTAGAGATAAGGTTTCACTATGTTGGCCAGGCTGGTCTGAAACTCCTGACCTCAAGTGATCTGCCCAGCTCAGCCTCTGAAAGTGCTGGGATTATAGGCATGAGTCTCCGCACCTGCGCTCCCCTACATTCCTGAAGGAAAGCATTTACTTGTAATTTCTTAAATTATGGTTAAATACAAATAATATAAAGTTCACCGTCATAACCATTACATTTTTTTCTTTTTGTATAAAACATTTCATTGTCATGAACCCATTTTAAAGCATACTTGTGTAATCAAGTTTTTTCACAGTGTGCAACCATCACCACTATCTAGTTTTAGAATTTCATCACCCCAAACAAACTCCATACCATTGAGCAGTCATTCTCCGTTTTCTCCTCCACTTAACTCCTGGCAACAACAAATCTACTCTTTGTCTTGGTGAATTTGTCTAATCTGTATATTTCATATAAATGGAGCTATATAATATGTAGCCTTTTGTGTAGACTTCTTTGATAGTGTGTTTTCTTTTTTTTTGTTTTTGTTTTTTTTTTTTTTTTTTTTTTTGAGGTAAGAGTCTTGCTGTGTCGCCAGGTTGGAGTGCAGTGGCACGATCTCGGCTCACTGCAAGCTCCGCCTCCTAGGTTCATGCCATTCTCCTGCCTCAGACTCCTGAGTAAGCCTGGGACTACAGGTGCCCACCACCACGCCCAGCTAATTTTTTGTATTTTTAGTAGAGATAGGGTTTCACTGTGTTAACCAGGATGGTCTTGATCTCCTGACCTCATGATCCACCCGCCTAGGCCTCCCAAAGTGCTGGGATTACAGGCGTGAGCCACCACTCCCAGCCGATACAGTGTGTTTTCTTGGTGTATCCATGTTGTAGCATGTATTAGTACTTCATTCCTTTTTATGGCCAAATATTTCCTAGTATGGATCGACCACATTTTATCCGTATCATGAGAAACATTTGTGTTATTTCCATCTTTTAGCTGTTTTGAATGGTGCTGCAGTGAATATTTATGTACAAGCTTTTGTTTGAACAGTTTGTTTAATTCTTTTAGATATATGCCTAGGAGTAGAATTGCTGAGTCATATGGTCATTATGTGTTTAGTTTATTGAGGAACTGCCCACCCAATTTTCATAGCGGCTGCACCATCTTATATGCCCACCAGTAGATGTATGAGGGTTCCAGTTTCTCTACATTTTTGCTAACACATTATTTTCCATTTTTAAAATTATTGTGATCCTAGTGGCTATGAAGTGGTATTTCTTGGCAGTTTTGATTTGACATTCACTTTTTCTTTTAAAATATGAAGGGTAGGTTCTGTCCATTGCCTTATATTATTAGTTATGTTTTGCTATTAATATATATATTCTGCCTTGTCTATTTCACACTGGCCATATTCTTCTCTTGGGTGTTCTCTCTTTAACTAAACTATAAATTCCTTAGAGACAGGAAGTCAGGTTCTAATGCTACCTGATATATCCAGCCAGGCCACGTGTTTATTTGTCTTACAAGGGAGACTATATATATATATATATATATAAATTTTTTTTTTTCCTACAGCCTCTACCTCCTGGGCTCAGATGATTCACACCTCAGCCTCCTGAGTAGCCGGGATTACAGGCACGCACCACCATCCCAGCTAATTTTTTGTTTTTGTATTTGTATTTGTATTTTTTTTGTTTGCGTGTGTATTTTAATTTTTTTGTGTTTTTAGTAGAGGCAGTGTTTTGCTGTGTTGCTCAGGCTGGTCTCAAACTCCTGGACAGAAGCAGTCTGCCCACCTTGACCTCCCAGAGTGCTGGGATTATAGACGTGCGCCACTGTGCCCGGCCAGGCATACAATATTGTCAGCTTTTTATTCTCTCTCCCTTCCCTGACCACCATTTTCTGAATATTTTAGCTTATGCCTTTACCTCTGCGTGGAATTGTCCCTGTTGAATCATCTCGTTAGAATTCTACTTATTCTTCCCCCTCTTTTCCTAAAGCATTTTCTGATCAGTCTAATAAAAATATGATACTTTCCTTTTGTTTTTACTGCTGCTTGAGCACCTACTTTGTGTTAAACATTTTACTTTATCGATTTTAAATCTTCACAATGGCCCACAAGGTGATACTCATTCTCCACAAGATATTCATGTTAGAGAAATTACATAACTTGTCTAATTAGTATAGGAGCTGAGATTTAAACTTAGGTCTCAGCCAGGTGCAGTGGCTCACACGTGTAATCCCAGCATTTTGGAAGGCCAAGGTGGGCAGATCACCTGAGGTCAGGAGTTTGAGACCAGCCTGGCCAACATGGCAAAACCCTGACTTTACCAAAAACACAAAAATTAGGCAGGCATGGTGGCACACGGCCGTAGTCCCAGCTACTTGGGAGGCTGAGGCACAAGCATTGCTTGAACCTGGGAGGTGGAGATTACAGTGAGCTAAGATTTCGCACCACTGCACTCCAGCCTGGGTGACACAGTGAGACTGTTTCAAAATAAAAATAGAGAAATAAATAGGCCGGGTGCGGTGGCTCATGCCTGTAATCCTAGCACTTTAGGAGGCCAAGGCAGGCGAGTTGCCTGAGCTCAGGAGTTTGAGACCAGCCTGGGCAACATGGTGAAACCCCGTCTCTACTAAAATACAAAAAGTTAGGTGGGGTGGCAGCGTGTGCCTGTAGTCCCAGCTACTCTGGAGGTTGAGGCAGGATAATTGCTTGAACCCAGGAGTTGGGAGTTTGCAGTGAGCCGAGAGCACACCACTGCACCCGAGCCTGAGCGACAGAGCAAGACTCCATCTCTAAAAAATAAATAAACAAACTTAGGTCTCTTTGGCTCCAAAGCTATTGTTTTCTCTCCACTACTATTTTCTGCTGACTCTTCTGGCCTTCTGCATTTTGTTGTAATTGTTATAGTCAACAAGAATCTGACACAGATCTTCGTGTCCGTCCTGGTGTCTTTATCATTCTATACGTATTTGTGGAATAAATGAAAAGGGGACTTTGTTCTTCATGAACTAGGATAATTATCTTCATGGGCTAGGATATTATCTACAGGTTTGGGAAATAGCCCTGTTTAACAAAAGAATATGAATTCAAAATCATCATATTACCCACTAAATTATGGATCCTTTATTCAAATTATGAGATAGATTAGGTCAATCTACATCAAATCAGTATAGCTCAGTAAGTAAGAGCTTGACTCTAGAGTGAGCTTGCCCAGGTTCTTTTCCTGGTTTGTTCTATAAGTTACCTAACATCTGCTTTCTCGTGTACGAAGTGAAGATTAGTATTTAGTATTTAGCGTTTAGAATTGTTAGGATTAGGCCAGGCACAGTGGCTCACACCTGTAATCCCAGCACTTTGGGAGGCTAAGGCAGGTGGATCACGAGGTCAGGAGATCGAGACCATCCTGACTAACACGGTGAAACCCCGTCTCTACTAAAAATACAAAAAAATTAGCTGGGCGTGGTGGCGGGCGCCTGTAGTCCCAGCTACTCAGGAGGCTGAGGCAGGAGAATGGCGTGAACCCGGGAGGCAGAGCTTGTAGTGAGCCAAGATTGCGCCACTGCACTCCAGCCTGGGCCACAGAGCGAGACTCCGTCTCAAAAAAAAAAAAAAAAGGAACTGTTAGGATTAAATTAGACCTTAGATAAAAGATTCAACAACAGACTGTATAGTAAACATGCATTAGGGAATAATTATTATTATTAACATTACCCATTGTCTTTCCCATTCTGTGTGATTTGATTATGATTATGTTGAATGAGAACTTTTTCCTTGTCTATTACTGAAAATAAGAAAGGATAGTATTTTTCCTTCTCCTTTTTAAAAATATTCTTACTGTATTTAAGGATATTAGTGGCTTCATAGAGATGATCAATGCATCTTTTATGGCAGGGAGTCGTCGCATGGTGGATGTCATGGATGTGAACACACAGAAAGGCATTGAAATGACCATGGCTCAGTGGACACGCTACTATGAGACCCCAGAGGAGGAGCGAGAAAAACTCTATAATGTCATCAGCCTAGAGTTTAGCCACACCAGGCTGGAGAACATGGTGCAGAGGCCCTCCACGGTTAGTGTAATCATTTTCTTCATATTGTCATTGTCGCCAAAAGGGTTGTTTTCGTCTGGGTGTTGGTAACTGATGCTTGTAATCCCAGCACTTTGGGAGGTCAAGGCAGGCAGATCGCTTAAGCTGAGGAGTTTGAGACCAGCCAGGGCAACATGGTGAAACCATATCGCTACAAAAAGTACCCCCCACAAAAAAAAAAAGCTGGGTGTGATGGCACATGCCTGTAATTCCTCAGCTACTCAGGCTGAGGTGGGAGGATCACCTGAGTCCAGGAGGTTGAGGCTGCAGTGACGGGTGATTGCACCACTGCATTCCAGCCTGGGTGACAGAACAAGACCCTGTCTCAAAAAATTAAAATAAAATGAGTTGTTTTTCTACTGTGAAAATTTATAACTTTTTGCACATACCAAGATTAAGCTGAAGGAAAATAAGACTATTTGACAAGAATAACTTGTATTTTTATAAAGATATATTGATACTGTATTTTGATAAGAATAACTGCATTTTCGGCCGGGCGCGGGTGGCTCAAGCCTGTAATCCAGCACTTTGGAGGCCGAGACGGGCGGATCACAAGGTCAGGAGATCGAGACCATCCTGGCTTACACGGTGAGAACCCCGTCTCTACTAAAAATACAAAAATAAGCCCGGGGCGAGGGGCGTGCGCCTGTAGTCCCAGCTACTCGCGGAGGTGAGGCAGGGAATGGCATAAACCGGGAGGCGGAGGCTTGCAGTGAGCCGATCCGGTCACTGGCCGCCCAGCGCTGGGCGACAGAGCAAGACTCCGTCTCCAAAAAAAAAAAAAAAAAAGAATAACTGCATTTTCTGAAATCACTTAAGTTTTTATAGGGGTGAATTTTTAAATTTATTATAATCAAAAAAATTTTTTTTTTCAGAGACAGGGTCTCACAATTTTGTCCAGGCTGACCTTGACTCCTGGGCTCAAGAATCCTCCCCACCTTGGCCTCCCAAAGTGCTGGGGATTACAGGCGTGAGCCACCATGCCTGGGCGTGAGTCACTTAATTTATATAGGGCAGGATTATTTATTTGCTTTCACCTGTAATCTTAATGTAGGCCCATTGACTTGACGTAAGGGAGAGAGTATTAAAATTTCACCCTTGGAGCCAGGCGTCGTCATGCTTGGAACCCAGACTTTGGAGGCCGAGTTGGGTGATAGCGCAAGGGCAGGGTTTTGAGACCAGCCTGGCCAACAATGGGAAACTCCCGGGTCCTCTTATAAAATAACCAATTAGCCAGGGCCATGTTGCATTGCACCGTTAATTCGAGCTACATTTGGGAGATGAGGCAGGGGAGAAGCGCTTGAACCCGGGGGGCGGAGTTGCAAGTGAGCTGAGATCATGCCACTGCACTCCAGCCTGGGGTGACAAGATGGAGGACCTTGTTCTAAATAAAAAAATTAAAATCCACCTTGACCAGGCATAGGGCTGTCAACTTGTAATCCCCAAACACTTTGAAGAGGGGCTAAGAGCCAGAGGGATTTGCTTAGGAGCCAGTAGTTCAGGACCAGGCTTGTGAGGGAATGTCATGAGACCCTGAAAAAATAAAAAGTTAAACATTTTATTATTTATTTAGTTATTTTATTATCTAGGATAGAGTCTCACTTGTTGCCCAGGTGATATAGGAGTGCAGAGTGGCGCGATCTTGGGCTCCACTGCACCTCCGCCTCCCTGGTTCAAGCCAATTCTCCTGCCTCAGCCTCCGTCGCTGAGAGGGACTATAGGGCACATGCACTGCTAATTTTTGTATTTTTTTGGTAGAGACAGGGTTTCATCATGTTGGCCAGGCTGATCTTGAACTCCTGACCTCAAGTGATCAACCTGCCTCGGTCTCCCAAAGTGCTGGGATTACAGGCATGAGCCACCACACCCAGCCGAAAGGAACTATTTTTATATTAGTAATCATTGCTTGTTTGGTCATGTGGAAGTACAGGAAGACAGGTGGTTAGAATTTAGCCTTCTTGTTAGCCTAATGTGATTTACTAAATAGGAATTTAATGACAGGGATGTAAGAATTCCAGTAACATTATTTATTTGTAATTTTGTTTCCTTAATATTTCTAGAATTTTATTTTATTATCAT